AGGATCTCGACCGAAGAGGTATACCTACATCCTAGGCATAGAGCCATGAAATGTATTTTTTCCCATCTCATTTCCGCGGGCGAGTAGCAAGGTCGTGGCAAAGCGATACGTTTCCGGCGTGGGTTTTCCATACTGTGTATATGGATATCGCCTTCCAGTCATAGTCTGCCAGGACCATGATCAAGTTTATATCAAGTTGTTTGGTTTCAGTCACCGACCTTGAAGACTGCCTGGAACGCCTCCTTGAATACACCTTGGCCGAAGCGGTGTCTTGGAAAGTCGTTCCGCCAAAGTAGATCGGGATTACAGAAAACGAGTTTGACTCCATCCTCGTCAAGATAGGGTGCCCCAATCACACCATCCTTTGCACGAAGAACATCGATCATGATCTGAATATCGAGACCCCAGTTTCGGGGATCGCAAAATACGAGGACTGCACGAAAGCGAGTCTTCGTCAAGTCAACTGGCTAAGAAAAAGTCACGATGAAACCCAAACTCTTGCATGATTGCATGACAAGGTAGCAAACCTTGGTTGTTTCTTGCTCCTTGGGAGTAAGCTGATGAAAAGGCCATATACTTTGTATTCATTTGAGCACCTTGAAGAACAACAAGAATGGCATGGTCTTGCCTCGGATTCGATGCATGAACGTCGAGTGAATTATAAGCTTGCTTATAGCCGTATCTGTGCGGCTTCATCAGGTACTGCGGGAGACTTGGGCAATTGTAGTAGAGCTCACCCCTCGGCCACTTTACGGACCGAATCGTTGACGCCGCCCAGAACGAGCACCGGTTCGTCAGCAAATTCATGAGCTATCGAGCGGAGGATTGTGTGCGACTGAACCAATTGACTTGGATGTATCTATGGCCTGGGTTATGATCTGTTTCTGGTTCAAGATAGAACACTGACTTGTACTCCCAGCTCCTTGCTCAGTTTCACACAGCGATTCTCCTCAGAGAGTCCGCCTCCGTTCGTCATCTGCGTACGATTCAGCTAAACTTAGCATGGAGTTGACTCATTCTAGTACCAGTATGTACGGAATTTTGCTTTGCGACATCGTTAACAACCTGTGATACGTCTTTGAAAATCACTCACATCCCATGTTTGTTGTGCCCGTTTAGGATGGCCAGGGCACGTTTGGCCTCTGGGAGGACGGAAGGGCCGTGTATGAGGACACCATCCTGTTCGCATTCAGATACCCCAAACGTGTACCACAGAACACGTACTATGTCGAAAGCAAAGGCCAGCAGAGATCTGCGGCTTTGAACTGCTCAAGAACTGTCAGCGTCGTTCCACTAGAGTCCACTAGGTGCAATGGAAGCCTTACTGCCCAAGTATCGAGAAAGGACTGGAGCTCTGAAAGACCGGGCGGTCATGCCACGCGATAGCATCATGTGGTGCTGCTTGCGATTGCAGTCTCCTTTCTTTATTGAACATCTTCGAGATGACACACATCGGTAGTACTGCGAGAAATAAGTCCGCCCGCGGTAAGCTAGGATCCAATGGAATTAGATTGAGAACCATTGGTTACAAACTGTTACATAACGCTCTGTCCTCGGAAATGTGAGATCCAGGTCGAGCACCGCGATAGCCAAACCTTGAGTTGATGAAGGGAAGGAAAATTTTAGCCGCAGCGGTCCCAGTAGGGTTTCGTTCAGAGGGTAATGGAGATCGATTTATAGGGACGCTTATTAGGTGTACTTTGGATTCGTTGTGCATGAAGCCCGTCCCTTTGAGAAGTTCACCGGGTGTGCCGGCGCGAGATGCTTGACGGACATCTGTACGCTCCCAACTGATCAAGGCGGTGTTCATGTCCTAAGTTGGGGGTCAGGGCCGGGGTCCGGACGCGGTGGTGAAGGAGTTGCCAAGTTATGGCCATGGGCAGTTATGGGCCGGAAAGGGAGGCAGTATGAAGATTGAATACTGAAGAAGGTAGCTAGTTTTTCGAATTCAGCGAATTGCAAGGACTCGCAGGATTCCTAGACTCGGAGTGCAAGACAGGCTTAGACAGCAACAAGAGTTCGGAGTGGATCGGACGATCGTGCATAAATTTCGGAGAAAGTCGGAAGGCATGACCCATCTGGATGCCTCTTGTCTTCAACCACCACATCCACCTCCATAGAGAATCAACCGGCGCTCTGAGACGAAGCCACCTCGTGCACAATGAATTGTTTTCGAACTTTGACGTCGGAACTCTCCGAAGCACATTACGGTCCTGATTTACGGATTGCAATCGGTTCTGCGCCAGTGCACCGCTGGGAGTCTCTATAGACCTTCGCTCAAGCGCTCAAGACTGATCGCAACTCAAAACTGCGAGAATGATTTTCTTCGTTCTCTGCTTGACAAGGTCCTTGTTTGTGGAAGGCAGTATGTACAGTTGACTTTCTCATAATGCATTGGCTCATAATGCATATGTGTCATAATGCATGGCTTTCGGCCTGAAACCATCGTGGTATGCGGGCGTATGCGAACTCTTATGCATTGTGATTATGCATGGGCCTCTCGGCCAAAATATGCATTATGAGGGCCAAATTTGGGTGAACGGGGTGGCCCGAGGCCACTCAGAAGCAACTCAGAAGCCACAATTTTCCGAATTTGGTTGAATAAAAAATTGTATACAGACAAAGAAAGAGTGTCAACGAGCCTCATTTCCATTCCTGAGGAAGAAAAACACCGCATCAAGTGGCACGACGGTGAAATGCAGGTTGAACATCACATTTTTGGCGGAGGTCACATATTTCACACGGTGTCACAGTCATGCGTTACAATGTGATCCTGCATATATCTCATAATGCATTGGCCCGGACCTGTTCCCGACGCTATGCATTATGAAAAGTCAACTGTAAACTGAATCTGTTTACGTAAAATCACTGTGAGCCTTTCTTCTTCTTCTCTTTCTTTCTCTTTCTCCTCGCCATTGTGTACACCTATCCGAGTTCAGATGGCAGTCGTTCTGCGTCGGGAAGATTTCGCCGATACGGGAGATTACCTCGAGGCGCTGGACGAGGCCGAGCGGCAGGATTTGGAGATGTACCGGAAGATAAACCCGAAGCTTGGACGGCCTTGGGCGCGCACTCCGGAGGCAGAACCACACGCACCTACTAACAACGACGAAGAAGACGAGGATGAAGATAATGATTATGATGATGAGTACTCGGCTTCAGACTCGGAGCAAGTAGGTACGATGCGCAAACGGCGGAGGCGCGCCCCATGTCCTGGTCCTGTTACTCGCAAGATTGCACGCCGCAAATCCATCCCACCTGCGTGCAACGCGGAAAGCGTCCTGGTCCCGGTGCGCTGGAGTCTGCGGTCTAGAAATCGGGATCCAAGTACCCCGCCCCAAGCGACCCAGCCCGGTAAGGCGTTGTACGATACGCCCGTTCCGAGCGAGGACGAAGAGGACGTCGACGATGGCCCGGAAGTGATGATAGGCACTGCAGGTAGACGCAACGCCTCCTCTGCCTGGAGTGGGTTCGTGGACTTGACGCAGCCTGCCCGTCTGTACCCTGATTCCCATTTGATTTAGATCGCGACCGTGCCCAACCCTAGACGCAATTGTAACCGGAGCCGACTCGGACGTGAAAGATGTCGATTCCAGCGACGGTGACGAATATCTGTTCCCACTCGCAGCCCCGCCTTCCCTTCTACACCTTATCCGCCGCTCGCCATCTCCTTCCTTTGCTCCTTCGGTTGGCGTTTCCCCGTTTTCATCCCGCTCCAGTCTCTCCCCACCGCCGCCTTCCCCGCGTTCGACCTCCCCACGCGCATCTACACCTCCCCCAGACGCCCCTCACTGCGGGAACTGCCTGAGCACTACCAGCTCCGATCGCTGGCGCCGCAGTAAGCTCGAACTCGAGACGAGGTTGTGTAGTGCTTGTTCGAAGTATGAGCGCAGGCATCACTGCCACCGCCCGTCGGCCCTCAACCAGCGGCGCAAGATGCAGCGATTTCCGCCTTCCGCTTCTCCGGAACGTTGTGGGAACTGCCAGAGCACCTTCACCATCGGTGGCTGGCGCCGCAGTATGCTCGAGCCTGAGACAAGGCTGTGCAAGGCTTGCTATCACTACGAGCGCTCGTACCACCGCCACCGCCCGCTAGCGCTCGACGGCAGGTGGACAGATATCGTGTCCTAGCGGGTACACTCTGAACCGGATTGAACCGAAGCATTTGGCGGTTACAATATTGTTTTCTTCAAATTGATGGGCGTGGAGATATGGAGCGCTGAGTCCCGTTTTCTCGGCTTGCCGCATCTCCTGCCTGCTCAATCGTTTAGCAGCAGACCTCAGCCGTATACTATCAAGAGTCTGCAAATACCTCCACAGACCTGTAGTGACCACGTTTAAATCTGTCTTAAACGCAAGTGAGAGCTCATTCGAGGTTGGGTTTTAAGCACTGACAATTATTCGAGATATTGTTCAAGCACTGACAATCTTGCCCGCTTTCGCTACTGGGTTTCCGGTTTTCACAGATCAGATTCGAATCGAATTTATTTTGTCCGTAGTTCGCTCTGCACCTGTGAAAACACACCAGGGATTAGTTCCCCGGACATTGAAAATGCACAGGCTGGCTTAATTTTTACAGACTTCCCCAAAAATTCCTACGTATCTCGGGATATGACGTTCAAGGTTGCTCGCCACCAGAAAATTTGAATGGGAAGCCTCGCAAACTGCCGAAACGAAACGCTAGCTAAAGTGGATCATGATGATAGTTGTGTGAGTTGAAAGTTGAAGGGTTTGCCGGTGCTCCAGGCGTCTAGAATGTGCGTAGGGCTTAAAAATCGAAAGTGGGGGCGCGTATGTTCTCAAGACATATAAAGTGTTTTACATTATTGAAAACAGTTAGCTATAAAAGAAACACACAGATTCTGGCCGGAAAAAAAAGTCTATTGTGTATGTGTTTTATGAAACGCAGCCATTGTCGGGGAGAGCGACAGAACTGTAGTTCCAGCGCGATACGTCCAACTTCTTGTGTCAGCGGCGTGCAGCCGAGGCCCGGCTCCCTGTGCCCTACAGGGGAATCGAACCCCCGACCTCCGTCTTAGGCTGTTTAAGCGGGGACAGATGATCTAACCGTTGATCCATAGGCGCACTTGAGAATGCCTTCGCCCTTGAGAGTGCCTTCGCCCTTGAGAACAAGGCCTTGAGTAGAATATGTCATGCACATACGTGACTAAAGTGTAGAATGTATGTGGAACTATACATCGGATCCTTTCACGAGAGAAGTCGAGCATTCGACCGTTAAGCGCTAAGCTACAGGTCAGAACAGGAACCGGACTGACCATCAGTACGATTTCCATAAGGAAAACGGCGTCTACCTTGCCGTCAGTGGCGGTGTAGCTCTCGAAATCACGAGCAAATCGCGCGCACCCTTCCTCTCTCTCTTCCTCTTCATCCATTTCCGTCATGCAGAGCGTAATGAAAAAGGCGATGGGACAAGAAATCAACAGTGACTCGTTTCGCTCCCCGCCTCTCCCAGTCCTGCCCCTAACCGACTGGCCAAATATACTCCCCGACAACTTTGACGATGCCGATTCAATCCCCTCCACTCCCCTCAGCGCAACGGCCGCACAAAGATACGACATCATCGGACTGAGTCTTTTCCGCTTCGCCACGGCTATGGCCTTGGTAGGCGAAATGCCAATGCAGCCAAAAGAGTTTGCCAAAGTGCGTGATTTCATAGCAGACGACATCGCGCTCACTGCAACCCATCAAGTGCTTCGAGGCTGCGGCGGAATCAAACCAAATTCTCAAACCAATGTTAGCGAAGAGCGATCAGCGCATTGTAGCCAACAATGTCGGCCTCGTCCAACACGGTTTCTATGTTTTTGTCGCTGCCGTTTGGTTTGCAACAGGACGGAATAAAGGCCCCGTCCCGGACTGGTTAGTGTCCATGCTAGAGCCACTGGTCAAAGCAGCAGGTCGGGCTGTCAAATCAAAGTGCGTCGTCGTTCCACTCTGAAGGGGTATCGGTGATACTGATGCACGCTCAGCCTTACGTGGTACAAGCAAACGAGGGCGGCGACGCAGATAAGCCGTACGGCGGACGGTATGTCGTTCTTATCTCGCCTACTCATCATTCTCACTCTTCTTAACAGAGACGCTGCTCTTGCAAAACATTAGAAACCTACAGCTCGAAGATGTTAATGCCAAGCGCGCGTCGTTTAACCACCCAGTCAATATTGAAGAGGCTCTCGTCCCCGAGGTCCGCATCCAGTCTCCGGCATCTTCCGACGAGGGATCGCCCGCTGGAGAGCTGCGGCAAATGGCCCATGAAAATGATGCCGCCAGACGGTCAGCTCGAGCCGACGCAGACATGATCTCCCGCGAGCCGCATCTCTATGCGCACCTACAGGATGTTCGTACCCTTCCCCGATTCACCAGACACCGTGCTTATACCTTTGCATAGACGGCACCGAGGGAGAACGCCTTCGCACCGACACTCCTAAATCCCGGAGACGACGAGCCGGTATGCTACACTCTTCTATCGCGCCAATCTATCTGACGCCCATGCAGAATCCCTTCGGCATGGGCGACCTCGATCGCGAGCTCGACGAGCGTGTGTCGTTCCTCGCGGTGCGTGAACTGATACTGAACGCGGACCGTGCGACGATGGCCTTTCTTCGTGCCCCGGTGGGATGATTTCTTGACGATGGAGTCGCGCTCCCACTCATTTTTTTCCATAGGTTCCGACGCCCAAACCGAAGCGTGACGTTATGCCAGCCCGCCGGCCGCTCACCCCCTTGATGCTAAACCTCACAGAGGTGCTCGATCTCCCCGAGGCGTGTATTTCCGCTCGCTTGACCCTGCGCGGTGTGCTGATGGTTGAACGGCAGGAGTTCGAGTTCAAGGCTCACGTGAGGGCGTCGACGGGCCCCGCCAGCGTCCGGTATATCTGATGTGCAGTTCTCGTTGCAGTCTCCCGGCTGATCCTTTATTTTTATTTATCTTTCTCTTCTCCGCATAACATCGAACTCGCATTGCGCACTCCAAAATTAGAATGTTGTAAGTATCTGGACCTGTAGCTTTACCAACGACCTTCTGTATTCTTCGTATAATCAGATATACAGTCAATAAACTTTCCAGACTGTCTGTAGCTCTGACTGCAAACCGATTGTTGCTGAACCGGATGTTCAAATAGAGGGCCGAGTTGAACATCGCCGAGATGGCCGAGAGAACACACGTGATCGAATTGAACAGTTTCGAATATTGTCTGAACCAACACTGGCACGCCGCGCCGCGAAGAGAAGATGAACCGTACCGAGAAACAAAATGAATGGCCTGTCCTCTGTGCGTCCTGCCCTTAACATACGCGTAGATCGTTGAAACGTATCAAAAGCGTTCGAATCCTATATGTACCAATCAATCAATGCAACTTGAATGGTTGGTGAATTTCTCTTATCACCTCTAGCTGAGGACTTACAATATTGACACGGGTGTGAGGAGCCCTCGACTCGGGACCGCTCCATCCCACGGCCACCCACCGATGTTGTCGAGAGTCGAGTCCAATTACTATCGGAAGAAAATGGATCTTCCGCGGAGGGGTAGTCCCTCCCCTCCTCGTCCCATCCGCAGTTAACGACGTGATTCACCCACAACACTGCAGCTTCAATACTCACCTTCTCACATCGCCAGTTGCAATGCTGTTCAACTTGATCGGATTAGCGTTAAACTTCTATTACATATCATTTGTGCTTGATTATCGATACCTGGTCAGCCGAAGATTCGAAAACCATGTTGAATATGGTTACCATACTTAACATGGTGTATGGTTACCGTCTCACCACATCAAAGGAGGTGTATTCCCAAAAAATCGAGCGAACAGTTGGACGTCCGGCCAGCGCGGTTTCTGATCAAGGTTGAATTCCCGCCCTGCACGTCGCAAGTGAGAAGAAAGATATGAAGGAACGGAGGGAGTAAACGAGGAAGCTACCCATTGCAGTAGCATGTCAGATGAAGAATCGACGACAGCAAACGAGCGGGAGCAAGATAAGCAAGGAGGAGGAAACGAGAAACGGACCAAAGAAACACTGCGCACGCGTGGGTACGAAGGAAGAAGAAAAACAGGAAGAAAAGATAACGAAAGACAAGGAAACGCACCTGAGGTATACGTGACCATGGGGACATCACGCAGATCCCGAGCACCATAGCCTAGGAAGAAAGAAAACAGGTTCAATCACTGATCTGTTGCGAGGAGGCGGACAGATATTGTGTGAAAAGTAACCTTGAACCCGATTGGGCCGCAGAATTTTGCCGTTGCAATATCGTTCTTCAAATTGATGAGGTTGTATCCAGGGAACCGGCAGCCACCGTATTTGGAGAACGAGAAGTACTTATTCGGCGGTGTATCAATTCCCTGATGCGTCTCGGATATCCGTATCATTCCCAACATATGTAGAGGCTAAGGAGCACTCAAGGCTGCTGAGTTCTGGATACGTGTCCAGGGTAGATCAAAGGCCATCGACAGTATTATCAAGTGCAAGGAAATAGAAAAAGAGCCAGGAGAAGCTGAAGGGACCCAGAAAAGAGCAGTGAAACAGCTCAGAGAAAGTACTAGGCCTAGCGGGGCATCCATCGTTTGTCGGAGAATAGTGTATTGAGAGGTCCACCAAGAGAATGGATTCAGATAACACAGTGGCGTTCAGAACAAGTTCGGAATAGTCGGTGCCGAACACAAGCCGAACAAGTGCCGACCCGATGTCCTTCGTTCCAAGCATAGCCAAACATCGCCCATCTCAGAACGGCCGGTACAACGGAAGTCACCGAGAAATTCACGCAAATTCCGCAGCCGGGCATCCTGCTGTCCCGGGCGACGAAACCTGCCGCTTTTGTGACTCGGAGAACTCTTAATTTCTATGAAATTCTGTCGGAGGTGCTCTGCAGCTGCAAGGCATCTTTCTGATGAATTCGAGTCGGGCCTCTGTTCACAAGTGCTCAGCCGTCAGGTCTAAGGAGGTTGCATCGCATTGCAAAAGCCACGAACTCATTGTGAAGACTTGCACTCCTCGTGTTTAGATAGCCTCAAAAGTTAAGTTGACGTCAACTCTGGCGTTGGCTACGTAAAATTATGGTTGGTGAGCCTGATTCCTTCTCTCTCTCTTTCTTCTTCGACAATCCGCCAGCCTACCTGGATTTACATGGGCGTCGTCCTACGTCGCGAAGATTTCGCAGACACGGGTGATTACCTCGAGGCGCTAGACGAGGCCGAGCGGCAGGACCTGGAGTTCTACCAGAAGATCAACCCGAAGCTTGGACGGCCTCGCGTGCGCACACCAGAGGCGGAGCCACGCGCAGCTACCAACTACGACGACGAGGAACATCAGGATGAAGATGAAGACCAAGACGAAGATGATGAGTACACAGACTCCGATTCTGAACAAGTGGGTACGAAGCACAAACGGCCGGGGCGCACCTCTGCTGGTCCTCGTTCTGTTATTCGCAGGAATGCGCACCGCAAATCCGTCCCGCCTCCGCACAACACGAACAGTCTCCCGATCTCGGTGCGCTGGAGTCTGCGGTCTAGAAATCGGAATCCAAGTGCCTCGCGCCAGGCAATACAGCCTGGGAAGGCACTCTACGATACGCCCATCCCCAGCGAGGACGAGGAGGGAGGGTTTGACACCGTGACGGGAATACCTGCGGCGCGCGATTGCAAGCTCAACTTGACGAGCGGACATAACGAGTTCGTGGACACCTATACATCCCTCTCGTCATTGCACTGATACTGATACACAGATCTCGACCATCCACAACTGCAGGCGCAGATTTGCCCGTTGACGATGTCAATTCGAACGACGACGAAGAGTGCGCGTTCATGCTTGCGGCCCCACCGTCCCTCCTGCACCTAATCCGCCGCTCGCCGTCTCTGTCTTCTTCTCATACTCCGCACGTTAGCGGTTCCGCGTTCTCGTCCCGCTCCAGTCTCTCCCCGCCGCCGCCTCCCCCACGTCCGACCTCCCCGCGCGCATCTACACCTCCCCCAGACGCCCCTCACTGCGGGAACTGCCTGAGCACTACCAGCTCCGATCGCTGGCGCCGCAGTAAGCTCGAACTTGAGACGAGGTTGTGTAGTGCTTGTTCGAGGTATGAGC